TTTTACTGAGAAATGTGATTTTAAAGTGACCAAGGAGACACACACACACACACACACACACAGATGCAACATGTTTCACAGCTCAACTGAAACATGACGCTCAAACTTCAGACAATTTCAACTACTATTTGTCCTTTCAGATTTCATTCATTTGATCAAAAGGCAAGGCAAGGCAAGTTTATATATATAGCACATTTCGTACACAATGGTAATTCAAAGTGCTTTACATAAATGGAAGTAAAATAATCATAAACAATAATCACAACAATAAAACAAACAATTTAAAATGATTTAAAATGTATTTAAAATTAATTTAAAACAGTTAAAAATAGAAAATGATTATACATAAAATAGAGTGCAATCAGTTCGTACGTAGCACAGTGCTCATTCAATAAATGCAGAGCTAAACAGATTAATTTTGAGTCTGGATTTAAATGTGGCTTATGTTTTAACACATCTGATCTCTTCTGGAAGCTGATTCCAACTGCGGGCGGCATAATAACTAAAAGCAGACTCTTGTTTTGTGTGAACCCTTGGTATTTCTAACTGACTTGATCTGAGTGATCTGAGTGGTCTGTTAGGTTTATATTCAGTGAACATATCTGCTATGTATTTAGGTCCTAGTGATTTATAGAGTCGCTTATAACGTGCATTTGAAAAAGCAACATGTGCCAAACATCTTCCAAACATGAGAATATATCATTTTTAGTTTTTAAATATTTATAAAATATAATTTAAATTGATTTCACACACTTAAAGCAATATTGTATCACATATCGAATATTGCATTAACAAGGTCTCGCATATTGCATTTTTCTTCAGTTTTCAACACAGTAAGTTAGCTTGCAGTCCGATAACTCTGAAGGTGTAAAAAAAACAAAGTTTTTCTTAGATCAGTATGTACACTGTAAAAAATAAATGTGTTTTTACAGAGAAAAAACAGTAGAATTTAACAGTAATATCACATTTTGATAGGAACTGAGAAATTCCATAAAAATGCATACATTGACACCAAATGTACATTTTATCTGTTTTTCATATGATTATATGTGTTTCTGAAAAAAATGGCCTTTTGTCTTTAATTAAAAGTAATTGTTATGTATTTTTAACCTTACATGTCCTTAAAAAAACGTTCATATATGATGTTTTTTCAGAGTTGAGAAAAATTTAATTTTACAGAGAAAAAACAGTAGAATTTTACAGTCATATGACATTTTGATCAGAACTGTGAATTTCCATAAAAACACATACATTA